CCTTTCAGGAGTCACCAGAAATTCAATAGTCATGATTATATAAGGTTGCTCCACCAGGGACTAAAATCTCCCTGAGACTCCACTTTCAACTGGTCAGATCCCTGTGATCAAAGGATTCTCCTTCATTTGAGTGATCGAAAGTGATTGATGCCTTCAGTTGAAAGACGGTGATTGACTGACTAGAAAGATGATTTCAGAGTTCAGAAAAAGATGGCTAATGTTATGACAGCCTTTTGCTGCCCTCTCCTGGAAGACAGAGCACATTGTTCAGTTTTACAATTCATCCACATCCTTCTGTGGAGGAGAACAAAACAGGCACACTGGAGGAGAGGGAATTCACAAAGCTGCTTTCCAAGCCAATATCTGACACTTGAGCCTGCTGTAGTATAACCAAGGGACAAGTGTCCTACCACTAGCAGCACAGGTATTGAGGGAGATGTTGGCTATAAACTGTTCCTAGCTTATGGTTCCCTCCTCATCCACCCAGTTTGAACCACAAGACAACTAAAGGCAAAGATGCTTTTGTTTACTCACTTCTCCCTGCTTAAAAAAAAGTGTCACTGGCTGGAAAGTTAGTGGAATAGGCTAAATCCATTACAGTTGGAAAAGAACTAGCATCCCTTCCTCCTCCAGTTTCTCCACCAGGGCAGAATCATTGACTCCAGCATCTTGTTCCATCACTTTGCGAAGTCACTCTTTGAGCAATCCCAGTTAAAGGAATTTGGCTCTGATTGTGTAACCTTCTTTTGTTTGTGGAATACTTTGACACAACCAGAACTTACACATTTCATTTAAAAAAATGTCAGCATTCTGTTTCTAGCCTCTTGTTCCAACCTAAGCTCTCGTCTTTCATGATTGACTTCTTGGGATGAGATTAAAGCAGGGATGGCCAACCCATTCCGGGCAAAGAGCCAAGATATCAGCGGATCCAATGCAAATTGCTGGGGCAAAGTTGTCGAGCAACTTTTTGGCCACATCAGGCTCCCGCCGGCCAACACCATATTTAATAGTCATGCCGAACAGCTCCCCTGCCACAGCGAGCCTTCGCAAGCCGCACCCGGGGGAAGAGGAGAGGGAGGGGAGAAGAGCCACATGCAGCTCGTGAGCCACGGGTTGGCCACAGCTGGATTAAAGGCTGTAGGGTTGCATAGATGGTTGTCAGGATACGTGGAAATTCCACTGGGGTATGGGCTAGTCACTGTTAAGTATAGTTTGAGGTGGGTGGATTTGCCTCTCCTATTGGGAAGAGGGCTCACTGTACTAGTCCACCCAGAGGCTAATGTAACCTAAGACCTCAGGAAGAAGAAAGAAGACTATCTTTCCAATGCTCTACTCAAGGACTGGTTTGGTTAGCACTGTGTGGTAAACTTTTGTCCACTAGAACAGATGTAGGCCCTTGTTTGGCTTGGAGATTAGCTTAGGTTACAGCTAAAATAGGACAAAGCGAGCAGAAAACTTGCATGCAAGAGCTAGAAGCCTCAAGACAACCCTAATCAATTGTGTGCTTGAAGTCCTCTATGAAACACACATGAGGAAGTGCTTCACATTCACTGGCTTCAGAGGGTAGCCAAGTTATCCTGTACAGACTAAACTAAAAAGACAACAAATGGTCTGGTAGCACTTTATAGACTAACAAAACATGTAGATGGTGATATGAGCCCACTTCAGATGACTGTGCCCACAAAAGCTCATGATACCATCTACATGTTTTGTCAGTCTATAAAGTGCTACCAGACCACTTATTGTTTAAATTCACAGTCACTCACACAGCCTAGATTATTGACGGTGCAGATAGCTCTATGAGCTGGGGCTGCCTCTGCCCAGCTAACCATTTACTTCCCTTTGTCTGAATTTCCAACTCTTCACAGCCAGATTGACTTCTGCAGCATGGATCCAGCCACCTTTTCTTCCCTCTGCCTCAGTGGCAGAAGGAAATTAGAACAACCAGCTCTTCCCTCCACGCAGCAGGAAGAAATCTACCTTTGAACTACATTTGTTTCTCCAGGTTGTCTTAAGGGAACGGGAAGGATTTAAGAGTATTCTAAAATTAAAGTATATATTCAAACCCTCTTCTCTGCCATTGCTACAGTTTACCAAAATACACTCTGTATTTTTTTCTTCACTAGAGCATCACAAAAGAATCAAGGTGGTTCAACTCAGGACAGCTGAAAAAAGTCCAAGGTCAGAATAAAAGTAAAGCAACAGGCTGAGGGCAATTACTGCAGGTGGTGATAGAGGGGTGCCCATTCCTGAAAGGCAGGAGGGGAAAGCTCTGCTGTGTCAGACTTTCTAGACTTTCTAGCAGTGTACTGACTGCCTCCAGCTGAGCTAGAAACAAGGGCCCCCAAGACAGACTGTGGTGCTCTCATGACATGATGGGAAGCTCCATTTTCCCCCATTAAACAGAGCTTTGGAATGAGCACCTTCCCTCACTTACTGTGTTCTCCCTGTTAGATAATGGGGCTTGCCCTTTGGCAGGGACTATTTGATTTTTGTCGTCTGTAGGGGTGATAGCAAGCGTGGTCAAGGATGAAATACTAGAGGCATCACACTGCTTCAATATTTATTAAATTTATAAAAATAATTAAAAAGCAGATTGGTAAGAGCCACAATGTTTTACATTGAAATTGTGTAAATAAATAGCTGTGCCTTCTAGCTAGGTAAGACTAACCAGCAGGGAGTCTGATTCAGGCCTTTAATACACACAACTCATATCTGCATTCACTCCAGGTGCCCCCCCAACCCCCCAAAAAATATGTAAAGGAATCAAAAGGACAGGACAGGAGACACACTTGGAGACAGGAGTCACTCCAATTCAGCCCATGACCGGGATCTTTTCCTGGGAGGGATGCATTGCTGCTGGCTGGAGAGGATGTGCAGCAAGTATTGCTCACATTTGGTACAGATATCCATAGAAGGCCAGTCCCTCATGGTAGTCCTCTGAGAGGCAAGAGGCTGTGCTAGGCAATGGGGTTCAAAAACTAGTGGTACTCTGAAAGTTACAAAAATGAATCCAGGCTTCAGTTAAATAGGTGGAGCATTCAGTCAACCCTTCCCTCCCTGCCTCCCCATCTGATCCAACACCCAATTAGCACTTTGCTAGAGCACACTCCTGTATGGTGCCAGGCACCTTCAACTCCCTTCAGTCAGGGCAATCCGCACCCATATGCAGAAAATTTGGGGCACCACTGGGTCTTAATGTTCATCCAGCCTTAAGCACCTGCCCATGCCATTAGCAGAACACTCAACCTGTGAAAGCCATTCAAGTGGTGGTGAAGCCATTTAACAGGTGTTTGCCAGCCCCAGGGATATCCTGTCAGTTTCTGAATTTACTATGTTAGTCGACAGGACCCTAGTTTAAAATTGGTTTTAAAAATCTCATGTGTGTTGAAGATTAAAATCACATCTCTAAAAAAAAAAACTCTATCCACGGCTGTCCCTGGGCATGGGGCACCAGTTTAACAGAACTATGTAGTGCCCCATAAATCCTAAGAATGACTCTTCCCTTCAGTATGGCACAAGAGGAACAAGCAAGCACCAGCTGATCTGCATGGAGTGGGGGAGGGGCATGCAGGAGGACAACGTATCCTCTCATGATCAGGATGGACTGCATCCTAAAAGTATCAGAGGGGTAGCCGTGTTGTTCTTGCTGATTCAGACTAATGAGAAGTCCTTGTGGCACCTTATAGACTAACAGAAATATTGGAGCATAAGCTGTCGTGGGCGAAGACCCACTTCGTCAGATGCTTGACGAAGTGGGTCTTTGCCCACGACAGCTTATGCTCCAATATTTCTGTTAGTCAATAAGGTGCCACAAGGACTTCTCATTAGTCTTGCATCCTAAAAGGTCACTGGTAATTGATCCCCACAGCTACGAATAGGCCTTCTTTATAGTTGTGGCTGGTCAAGAGAGGGCTCACCACCTTCTGGTAGATGGCCAAGTGATTTGTGTTTGTCATGTACATGGCAATAACTGAGGTGGGATGTTGCCTTACAAGGAGAGCAGCTATTCCAACAGAGCTCTAAGGAGTTCAGAATGAGGCTACTTAAGTAGTATTAATGGCTGTCAACTCTGCTCTGAACGCTGTACTGACCCACACTGAAAAATAGGTCAAATCCAAAGGCTGCAGTGTACAGATCTTTTCTGGCCCAGAGAGGCCTTTCAAAGCCAAGAGTTTTTCCAATGCTATTCTCATCATGGACAACACAACTCCAGATCTGAGAAAGCGGTCTTGTGATCACTCATCCTCCCATATGGGGCTCCCAATAACAAGGGTCAAGACCCGAATATATTTGGGACAGGTTTTACACTCTTTTTGGAATAGCTTGCCCACAATAAGAGGGGAGGGCTTCACACAGATAAAATGGGGAAGAGAACCAAGACACTGCTTGTTGCTTTACAATATCAGAGTACATTCCATAATATGTAGCCTATGCACAAGACACTTAGTTTGGTAGAGGGAAGACTCCTCTGAGTCAATTAAAATTCCTTCCCTATGAACACTAGGCCCAGTTTGCATCTTAAGTTATGGAGAGAGACAAGAGCTATTGGACCCGGGGAAGTTCTACCAGCTTTAATGAAGTTTTCTTTGGGAATATATCGGACACTGGATAGGGAATAATATTAGGTGATTTTTCTGCAATAGCATAAGCCTGGAGAAAGTTACTATTACGTATGAAAGTTTCAGGCAAGATGTTAACTGTAATCCACTTTACCCATCTCTGCCTAAAGCCTAAGACCCAACAGAACCTTTTCAAGAGAGTCATTAATAAACCAGAATAAGTGGGCAGGCCAAAAGCCAGTGTAACATGCAGTTGTTCAAAAGCACAAATGATGTCTTTAACAGTCATTGTATTTGCCTGTACAGGTCCTACTTCACAGAAGCAATGCCTTCTTTCTAGACACCCAGAGGGGGTAAGACTATAGAAAGCAAGTCTCACATTTAACAAAAACAACAAACAAAAAACCCTACACACCACTAAACAAAACCCACACTTACCTAGAACAATCCCAATGTTCTACTTCAATCAACAACTGTGTTGATTTCTGGTTTTGGGTAGCTGGATCCTCCTCCTTAGTGAGCTTTAGTGCTCTTATTAAGTTAAGTGGAAGATGCACACATGGTCTGAAGGGCATGGACATCTAGAAGCAGAAGGCCATGAAACTTAAGTCATCAACAGAACAAATTCTGCTTTAGAAAGCTACCATGGGACAGAGCAAGTTTGCCAAATGCAGGATAATATTTTAACAAAACAGGTGGGGGGGGGAGGGGGGGGGGAAATGTTAGTTGTACCAGAATCAGAAAGTTCCTAGTAATAAGTATTTCAGAGATCTTGAAGCACTTTACAAACATTGATGGGAGACATCATCATCTCCAATGGTTTGCAGGGGGGGGGGGGGG